AAATAAGTAAAGGAATGGCATGCATTGGTTACTTTTGTCCGTCTCATCCTCTGCACGAGCATGAATTAACGAGCTGTTATTCTGCCGCTGGACATCACTGAAGCGGAGAAAGTAACACTAGTTTGATCATGTATAAATATCATTATAACTGTATTGTATAAATATTATTATAACTAGGTCTACAGCAACCTGATAATCAAAAAACAAATGACATGATATCACAGGCGATTGTCTTCTGACTGTAGACACTTCTCATATAAGTTAGCTTTAGAAGCATACAGTACTATTTGATCTATAAAATTTGTAAAATAAACATTTGCAGGTTAATGAAACAGCATAGGAGGGGCCTTGGTGCAGATGAAAAGTTTAAAAAGTGTATTTGTATATAGAGGGGTCACTAGATAGAATAGACAGAGATAGGTTGATCTCAGCAGCAGCTGCCGAAGAGCTGCGCGCTGCAGACGCAGCTGGTGTGAAAGGCAAACGCCTGCGTGCTGCTACTGCTCGACAAACGCGCTGCTCACGCTCTGCTCACGCGCCGCTGACGCTTGCGGTGTGAAACAGGCGTCACTCATACACTCATGACAATAGGAAAGATCCAGGTTAACCCTTGGTGTCTCAGAGGTCAAAGAAGTAACAAAAGCATTCAGCGTGTATTTCTTTTATAATTTAACATGTATTTAAATGCGATTCATCAATGCTGGTTCTTTGTTTTTCATCTAGAAGGTTGATAGAGACATAATAACTTATAAAGTAACTGCACTGTTTAATTAAACTCTGAACCTCATAATTAAACTCTTAACTTCTTAAATTCATTATGAACGCATAATCGTAAAGGTCCTGGTCAGGATTGTGCAGTGAGCAGTTTTGCCTATGATTTATATTAGGAGTTGAAGTAAACAAAGCAGAAGATCCTCTGTTAGATACATTAAGTACATTAAGAATCTTTAAGTATACGTAGTGACTGTTTTTCAATATGCGTTCTTCAGCAGTCTTGCTTCTTCGTGTTCTTGTGCAAGTTCAGTTCCTATACTCAAGACCGCAAGTACAGAGGACGTGTGAAACTTCCCGGATGTGTTCTTAATATCGAGGACGCACCGATGCAGACTTGAGCACCGAACTCGCTCTGGAAGTCCCAGAAGTCATTGCGACTGGAGGTGCGAAGCGCTGCATTTTATTTAGATTTATTATTAAAGTTCATAGATATAATTTATTTACCTCAGGACTTTCCCTAAATGAAACGGTGAAAGTAAACATTAACATGAACATCTTAATAAAGGAATAAACACATTAAGGGTGTTTGTTTGCTGAAATTCGTATTAAAATCTGTTTTATTTATATTGTGCAACATATATTTATATTGCTTTTATGCAAAGTGTATATTTTGAAGAAGGGAAAAACAATAAATCGTTGTATAAGTGCTGTAATGTTTAAATAATTTCCATTTAAAACGCATGAAGGTCACATGACCATCAGGAAGAACGCAGCATCCCATTTCTCAAAGGACACGTTCTCTGCCCTCGCGGTCTCCTGAGTTTGTTCTTCCGAGGACACCTGGCAAGACCGCTCTCCACAAGAACACAAGTCCGTTCTCTGCGTTCTTGGAATTGAGAAACAGCCTAAGTTTGTCTTGTTCTTTTGCTGTTGTTAAACATGTGGTGAACTCCATGGTGACATGATCCTAAAGATATGAACTCGGTGACCCTCATTTGAATTGTTGTTTTTGTACACTCCTTAACAGTTTGTAAAATCCTGTGTGTTCATCTTTATTAGTTACACTCACTGGGCACTTTATTATGTACACCGTACTAGTACCAGGTTGGACCCCTTTTTGCCTTCAGAACTGCCTTAATCCTTCATGGTATACTATAGATTCAACAAAGAACTGGATATATTCCTCAGAGATTTTGGTCCATATTGACATGATGGCATCACGGAGTTGATGCAGATTTGTCGGCTGCACATCCATGATGCGAATCTCCTGTTCCACCACATCCCAAAGGTGCTCTATTGGATTGGGATCTGGTGACTGTGGAGGCCATTTGAGTACAGTGAACTCATTTTCATGTTCAAGAAACCAGTCTGAAATGATTTGCGCTTACCATCCGAATGTCGCATCTGAAATCAAGACTCGTCAGACCAGGCAACGTTTTTCCAATCTTCTTTTGTCCCATTTTGGTAAGCCTATACAAGTTGTAGCCTCAGTTTCCTGTTCTTAGCTGACAGGAGTGGCACCTGGTGTGGTCTTCTGCTGCTGTAGCCCATCTGCCTCAAGGTTGGACGTGGTTTTCTGCAGACCTCGGTTGTAACGAGTGGTTGTTTGAGTTACTGTTTTCTTTCTATTAGCTTCTAACAAGGCATTTGCGCCCACAGAACTGCCGCTCACTGGATATTTTCTCTTTTTCAGACCATTCTCTGTAAACCCTAGAGATTATTGTGCGTGAAAATCCCAGTAGAATCAGCAGTTTCTGAAATACTTAGACCAGCCAGACTAGCAGCAGCAACCATGACGCGTTCAAAGTCACTTAAATCACCTTTCTTCTCCATTCTGATGCTCTGTTTGAACTGCAGCAGGTTGTCTGGACCATCCCTAAATGCATTGAGTTGCTGCCATGTCATTGGCTGATTAGAAATTTTCGTTAATGAGCAGTTACACCTGTGTACCTTATAAAGCTGCCGCTGAGTGTATGTTCTTGTGTCACTAGGCATGGGCCAGTATAACATTCTGATGGTGTGATAACCTTGGATATAAATATCACAGTATCACGGTATGGAGATAACTGCTCTAAAAAATATTCTTTTTAAATGTCTGGGTAAAAAACAAAACCTTTTTCCCCCTTTGTACACAATATGTTTTAATTTGGGAAACATTTATAATATTTTAGGACAGTAAACATGGCAGGCTAAATAATTCAAATGAATCATTAGCTGCGTCTCAAATGGCACACTATGCACTCATGCACTATGTACTTATGCACTTTCACACTCGACAGCAAAGTATATGTATGTAGTGTCGTCCCAAAAGGAGCACTAATGTTTTTTTACTAAGAGGAAATTCCAACCGTTTCCCTGATGACATTTAACGGTTGCCAAATCATTGACAATAATGACCAAACTATCAAATAATACCTGTCATAAGCAAAACCGCGTTTACCATCAGGAGGCGCTATAATACATTTCGTAGGAGAATCTTGCTTTCACCATCCAGAGTAAATGAACAATGCAAAGCAAACCTGCGGTTTGTTGAGTGTGTGAAGTGTCTATCATTACACACTTCATTTTACCGGCTAAATGAGTGCATCATCCGGCTAATTAAAGTGCACTTATTATTTTTTCAGTTTTCAGTGTGAACGCACTACTTACACTTTATACTACAAAATGGTGTATAATAGTGCATAAGTATGCGATTTGGGACGCAGCTATTGACTTCTGCTGTTTTCATTTGTATTAAAAACACTTTTTTTTTTACAATTTAAAATGCAATCTTTGGATATCTTTTCTGCTGGAGATGCTGTTGTCCTAAAAAAAACAAAAAAAAATTTAAATAAAAAATCTTAAGCTGCGTCCCAAATCGCATACTTATGCACTATTCTACACCATTTTGTAGTATTAATAGTGTAAGTAGTGTGTTCACACTGAAAACTCTAAAAATAATAAGTGTACTTTAATTACCCGGATGATGCACTTATTCAGCCGCTAAAATGAAGTGTGTAATGATGGACACTTCACGCACTCAACGACCGCATGTTTGCTTACGTAGCTATCGGACGCACAAGTTGAATAACTTTATTTATTTTTGATGGTGAAAGCAAAATTCTCCTACGAGAGTGATTATAGCGCCTCCTGATGGTAAACGCGGTTTTGCTTATGACAGGTATTATTTGATAGTTTGGTCATTATTTTCACTGATTTGGCAACCGTTAAATGTCATCAGAGAAACGGTTTGAATTTCCGCTTAGTAAAAAAACATTACTGTGCCATTTGGGACGCCACTACATACATATACTATCCTGTTGAGTGTGCAAGTGCATAAGTACATAGTGCATGAGAGCATAGTGTATTGTGTGCCATTTGGGATGCAGCTTTACTCATACATTAGGAACGGTATAGCAGAAAATTTTGACTGTTTTAAAACCTTGACTTTTCCGAACCGCTGTATACCTTGAACACTGCTATCGTCCCATGCCTAGTCACATATAAATTAATGCAACCTTCTACTGTCTAAGAAAAAACAGCCAGTACCCTACCTATAGTCCCTAACGAGTGACCCAGTTTTTCACGAAAATACCAATGTGTTAACATCACTGTGGGGTGGAATTTTTGGTATGGAGCTTGGAAAAGTTCTATAAATGTTGAAAAACTGGGAGACATGGACCACAATACAACAGGTGTAGTTGTATAATTACTTGTAAAGTTCAGATGTCTGGGAGCGTCCTCATAAATTTGGTAAAACCTTGTTAAACTGACTTGTTAGGATGACCTTTAGTTGTAAAAAAGGTTCACATGTGGGCCAAGTCTTAAGTTTATGATATATGCATATAATGTATCTGTAAATTGCAGCTGAGTGTTTGTTTTGGGTTATAGTTAAATGTTTGGATGTATTAATTATCATTTAAAGCAATAGTAATCTTAGAAAGGTACAAGTGTATAGGTGTAAAAGCTTTACAGTGTTTGTGTATGTGGTGTCAGTATGTCACAAGGCATGATGTTTACCTGCAACTACTCAGCACTGCCTTGTGATCCAAAAATAGAGCTGTGAGAGTCTGGCGGCCTGTGTTTGTGGTATATGTGTGTAAGGGAGAGATGTGACGGTGGTTGTCCATCTCGCCACAGAGACACTTGAAATTCATTTTGAGAGTGAAACTCTGACCCCTGCTGGAAAAGATTAATGAGTGCTTCATTCTGCAGCCTAGCATAGCTGTTTTTGTGAGATGAAAACAGTGATTGCTTTTGGCATCAAAATAACCCTGGCTGACTCTGTTATTTATTTGTCTTTGCAGGTACTGAAAGCACAGTTTCTTACTGTGCGTGGGAGTGAAGTTCAGCCTGCAGTTTGTGTGTGAGATGGAGGGCTTTCCTGTCCACTGACGCTGCAGCACTGCCTTGCAGTCATGTCTGCATGCAACACATTCACTGAACATGTATGGAAACCAGGGGAGTGCAAAAACTGCTTTAAGCCCAAGAGCCTACATCGACCACCAGAGTCAGCCAGTGAGTGCAAGACGAATATCAATGCCAAACTCACAAACAGCCAGAGGAGCACTTCCTCATCCCGTGCAGGGCAGGTCCGCCCACCTGTCGCCAAGAAACCTACTATTGCCGTAAAGCCTACAATGATGCTGCCATGCTCCCCACCAGGATTGGACTCTGAGGGAAATGTGCCAAGGCTTGCAGAGGGACCACAGGTCACTAAGAGCTCACCTTTTACCGTGTGGAACCACAACAGCCTGAATAGCCTCAGACCTGCAGGGACAAACAACAATCAAGGGGAGGATTTGGTCGGGCAAACAGAGGCATACAGTGCAATCTCCCTGCAGCCAACTAGCAGCAACAACAATGGACTGACAGATGTGCTAAAAGAGATTGCTGGATTGGGATCTTCTCCAAGCACAAGTAGAAATGACTTTTTTGGCAGGATCTGCAGTTCATATCGACGCTCGTTAGAGAGGGGCCTTCCAGCGGCAAGCTGTCTTCATGCTGGAAGTAGCGGAAGAGGAGCGATGAAACGAGTTTCCCTCAGTGACAGCACAGAGGTCATTAGCACTGAGGGTGGACGATTCTGCTATCCAGAATTCTCCAGCGATGGTGATGATGAGGAGGAAGATAGTGATGAGGATGATGATGGAGAACATGACAGTTGGGATGAAAGCGACGAAGAGTTGCTAGCAATGGGGATAAGAATGCGGGGTCAACCTCGTTTTGCTAATTTTCGTGCCGCCACTCTGTCCCCAGTTCCTTTTGCTTTAGTGAAAAAGTGGAATACAGTGCCTCTACGTAACCGTTCACTACAGCGTTTCTGTGCAGTCGATTATGATGACAGTTATGATGAGATTCTCAATGGATACCCATCTGTTGACTCAAATGGAGCTCCTGCTCTTCTCTCATACACTTCTGACCACCAGGGAAGTGGCTTTTTGTCCACTTCTGAGTCCACCACCTCACCTGAGTCCTTGGCATCTCTTCCTGAAGAAACTTGCACTGAGAGCAGTCGGGACACTGATGACCATAGAAATGGTCTTCCTTTCCCACCTAACAAAGAAACATCAAGTAGAGGACCAAGTTCTCCAAAATCCAATGAAACTCATAAAGCTGTTCTAGCAATTCGACTAGAAGAACAAGATGACAGTCAAAGAGAGGGTGGGGCTCTCCCACAAGCTCTTCCAGGCCAGCCAATCACAATCAGCTTCAGCCCAACAGAGGAGCAGGCCAAGCCCTATCGAGTAGTGAATCTTGAGAAAGCTCCTATCTGTAAACCCTATACAGTGGTTGATGTGTCTGCCTCTATGGCCACGAAAGATAACACTCATTTGAGTGAAATTACTCCAAAGTCAAGTGTTACAGTTGACCCCTGTCCTGTCTCACCCATCTCCCCTCAGTCCCCCAGATCTCCCATGTCACCTGTGACATCCCCCTCTATTTCTTTGTCCCCACTGATGCCTCAGTCTCCCATAGGTTCTTCTTCTGGACTCAGCGGTTTCCGCACAAAACCTGGTAGCATCCGTTACCAAGAAGTGTGGACGTCTTGCACCAGCCCTCGACAGAAGATTCCCAAGGTTGATTTAACAAGTGGCAGTGCCGATCCAAGACTCATCAATCACAAATCTGCTCCCACATCTCCCACTGCAGCCTTCGGCTCAGCTCGCACAGTGCCAACTAAATCCCCCAATTTGTCTGAGATTAAATTCAACAGCTACAACAATGCTGGCATGCCCCCATTTCCCATCATCATCCGCGATGAGCCTGCATATGCACGCAGCTCTAAAAAAGCAGTGAAGGTTCCCATAGTGATTAATCCCAGTGCTTATGATAACCTGGCTGTTTACAAGAGTTTCCTGGGACTCAACGGTGAACTGCCACATTCCAAACCTGGCGCTGGGGAGCGAGTGGCCAGCCACACATATGAGGAGATTGGATCTTCTGAAAGTTCTCAGCCCTCTCCATCTGAGCAAAAACCTCCTCCAATCAGCGCAGATTTAACTGCTACCGGGGAATTGAGGACAACCACAGTAAATGATGGCAAATACAGGACTACAACAGGTGTTGCATTCCATGCTGGTATCCAGAGCACTAACCCTGCCTTTTTAGCCCATAGCAGTTTGGATCGTATTCGTAACCCCAGCAGTGAGCAACCCCCAGAGGGCAGTAAAGATTGCCAACTTGCATCAAGTGGAAGTTCAGGTCAGAGAGAGAAAGCAAGTGCTGTCTTGTCTCAGATTGTGTCTTCAATTCAGCCGCCGGTTTCTCCACCAGAGTCTCCTGCCGGCCAGAGTAAAACCTGCAGTGCTGAGGAGCTTTACTCACTGCCACCAGATGCTTCCAGAGACACTACTGTGAACAGACCTAAGTCACTCCATTGTTCTGCAGAACCTCACAAAGAAACACCACACAAACTCCTTCCCAAATCTCAGAGTGCCTCTGCTGCTGTACCACCCACAAGCCCCAAATCTGAAACATCTGCCCCATTCCCCCCGGTCCGGTCTAGCTCTTCTCCTTACCATTCAAGCAACCTGCTCCAAAGGCACTTCAACTGGACCAGACCAGCTGGGGCCAAATCTACTGATGGAGAGACCAGTCCTGGTGCAGAGGGCAGGCGTTCCAGTGATGGCAACAAGCCAAAACGCTGGATATCTTTCAAGAGTTTCTTCCGCCGGCGGAAGGATGAGGATGAACAGAAAGAGAAAATGGAGCGTGAAAAGGAAAAAGGGAAGCTGCTGGGATTGGATGGGACTGTCATAACCGTACTGCCTCCTCCACCATTACAGAGACAGCAGTGGTTTTCAGAATCCAAGACAGATGACCCTCTCCAGAAACCCACAATCATATTCACCTACAAATCAGAGAGTGCCACAGGTGGAGAGGAGGCAGAGCTACGTGTGGAGGAGCACAAAGAAAGTGTCACAGCAGAAGGTGGAGCCTCCAGCCTGTCCACTCCACCCAAGAGCAGAGCCAGTCTCCTCATTAGCAAAGTCATGAAGTAAGCTACCTTTCTCAGTCTCTCTTAGCTTTCCTTATAGAAACGTAGTCTTTGGTTCTTCCTGTCTGCTTCTCTTGCTGTGACTCAGTGTGCTTTTATCAACAGGCTTTTATATTCACCCCAGATAAAAAGCTTAGTTTATGCTTAGACACTGTTATGATAAGTGGGTGCCCCCAGGGGTAGATTTATGTAATGCCTGATCAAAAAAAGCCTTCCCAGAAATCCTGGTAGCATTTTAGCATTCTCTGTATGAGAAAACTGAAAGTACATGATAGCTTTTTATATAGTGCTATAATAAAAATACACACACTAGGGATTGGTAGTCGACTCCAAAAGAGTCGATTCCTCAACTCTCAATGGACCTAGTACCTGAATTGACTCCAGGACAGGAATCGACTCCCAGAGTCGAGTCTGTTTTTTCGAACCATTCTGAATGAAGCGGATACATGCTACAGTCATAATGCTCATTCTTAGGCACGATGAACATCAAAGGCGCCTGCTTTGAATGCATGCTCACATATTTTATGTTTTTGCTTTTGAATTTCACAACCATGAGTACTCTAGGCTAATATAAGTAGTGCTGAGGGACGAAGTTTGCTTCACTTTCAAATTCCTATAAAACACACGTTTTGCAATTTAATTTTTAGTTGATCTGCCTGTCTGCACCAATAGCCTAGTGGTTAGTGCGTCGACACATAGCAGCGATGTGCTCGCCGCGACCCGAGTTTGATTTCCGGCTCGAGGTCCTTTGCCGATCCTTCCCCTATCTCTGCTCCCCACACTTTCCTGTCTGTACATCTCCACTGTCCTATCAATAAAGGTGAAAACCCCTAAAAATAATAATTGTCTGCTTGCGTTGACAAGTTTGTTGTGTTATAAATGAAATATAGCATATGTGTGTACGTTTGGAGCAGATCAACATCTTACATAAGCACTGCGGGTAAAATTACAGGTTATGTTATTGGTTTCTGCTATATACTCAAATAAAAAATGTAACCTATGCCTATTTCACAAATTAATTAATTAATTAATTTAAAAACACTAATCATAATGACAAAAGTAGCCACGATTAATTTATTAACACAATCTGATAATACATGTCGTCCTTTTTTTTTTTTTTTTTGGACGCTCTTAATTTCACCTCTGATATTAAGGCTATTTTTCTCGTTTATTTTGTAAATAACTACAAATGACCTACATTAAACTAAGATAAAACTAAGATGGATTTTTAAATAGCCAAGGCTGTTCAAAAACAGGTGTGACTCACTCCTTTTCTTCAGGCGTACCGTCCCATTAACACACCCTTATTTAATATCAATGAACAAATTGCACAAAACAAACAGTGATATTTAAAAGTAAAGTAGTAGGCTATTTAAATACACTTAAAAAATCACATTTATGAGAGCGAGAGCAATATGATATGCTTTGAGTCACCGTCTAACTAATATTTCTAATTCTTCAGCATTATCATTTATAATTGTTTATATTAGTTGTAAAATAAAAGTATCTGCATTATTTGGTGATTTCTCAACTACATAAACCGCTTCCTGTTATTTTGGTCATACCTGAAGGACCTTTGATCCTGATGTTTCACAATTGTAAGCTGATGAACAGCCAGCCACAGGTAGTTGGTAGTCGTCTATTAAGGGTTAATCATATGAAGGAAGAGATATTCACTCCGAATGTTACAGCAGAGAGAGGAGGAGTACGAAAAACAAACTCCAAGAGAAATTTTGTCTATTAAGTGTTCGAAAGCAAGGGTTGAGTTTTCTGATTTTAACTTTTACCTTTTCTCTGATCTTATCGAATGGGTGACTGTGTGAGCAAATATGGTGGGTAAGCATTACTTCCTCAAATTCCTTTTAAACAGACCAACACTTAACTGAAACTCTCAGCTGGATGTTTGTTTCATCTGCTGTGTGTGTGTGTGCGAGTGTTTGCAGAGCGTTTATCTACAAAGAGAGAGATACTTGGGACACGTTGGTTCAGGTTTTTTTCAACAAGTTCAAACACTGAGACACCAAGATATCCTATCACTTTAAAAAAAACACTTTTAAAAAGAGATATGTTTGTGTAAACTAATTTTTCCAATAGAAACATAAAAAAATCGAGCTTCATTTTGGGAGAGCACTTAAAGTGTTACTTCAGATTTCTGAGTGTGTCATAATTTAATGGAACAGAATGTTTTTATATGTCCGGACATGCTCTCGCTGCAGATGATTCCTCCCTTTTAGCGTTCCTGGATGGATTATTAAGAGAGTGAGGTTGGCACTGGGATACAGAAAAGATAGTTTGGAATCTCAGCAAAGGATTGTTGTATTTGATCAGTCCAGTATGGATGGATGCCACCATGCTAATTAAAATTTCATCTTACTAAAAAACTAAAGCACTCTCTCACACAGTTACTGTTTATTAGTCATTGTTGATCTCATTATTTACTCTCTCTAATGTTGATCCAAAGTTGAAGTATGCTTTCGGTAGAGGTACAGCCTCAGGACCCGATCCAGATTTCTTGCGGCGCGGGAATACATTTCAGAATAAAACGTGGTAGCTAACAATGTAGCGTTTCTGAGTCCCAATGTTATTTCTGGAACAGCATATCTGTGTTTTCCTCATTTTTATTGAGCACCATTAGACACTCACAACTTTTATTGTTTTTTTTTGTTTTGTTTTTTTTTGCACAGTCTGTGCACGTATCATCTGCATAATGGTCCTAAGTGCGGACTTTACCATGGAAGAGCAAAATGAATTAGCTTGCATTAGAAAATGGTCATTTACTTTTAAGAAGCCCACATTCGGCAAGTCTTACGTATGGGAGTCTTTTTCATGCGTTATATGATGCAATTGGAAAAAAATTATGTTTTTTTTGGAAGACTGGAATCTCAGGCGGCACTCATGTCTCATCGCAAAGGGGCAAATAAAACTGACATTTAGCCTACAATCCTTGCACAACCACCGTGCACAACCGTTTTATGTTATCTCTCACTTTGAGTAGTACCCAATTTAAACGTGAGATTTTTGAAACCAGATCTAAATTTAGCGGGAACGGTTGGGTCAGGTAGAAAAATTATTTCAAGCGGGCAGCAAGTGAACAAAGGCTGAATATACTGCGGGATCGGTCGGGTGCGGAATAAAACCTGGCGGGACCGGGACAAAAAAATGAGTAGAGGGTGAACAAAAGGCTAAATATACGACGCGAACAGTCAAGTGCGGAATAAAACCTGGCGGGCGCGGGACTAAAAGAATGAGTAGCGGGTGAACAAAGGCTGAATGTACGGCGGGAATGGTCAAGTGCGGAAAAAACCTGGCGGTAGCGGAACAAAAAAAATGAGTAGCGGGTGAACAAAGGCTGAATATACTGTGGGAGCGGTCAAGTGCGGAATAAAACCTGGAGGGAGCGGGACTAAAGAAAATGAGTAGCGGGTGAACAAAGGCTGAATATACAGCGCCAGCGGTCGGGTGCAGAATATAACCTGGCTGTAGTGGAACTAAAAAAATGAGTAGCGGGTAAACAAAGACAATATACGGCAAGATCGGTCGGGTGCAGAATAAAACCTTGAGGGAGCGGGACTAAAAGAATGAGTAGCGGGTGAACAAAGGCTGAATATACGGCGCCAGCGGTCGGGTGGAGAATATAACCTGGCTGTAGTGGAACTAAAATAATGAGTAGCGGGTAAACAGACAATATACGGCGGGATCAGTCGGGTGCGGAATAAAACCTGGCGGGAGCGGGACTAAAAGAATGAGTAGCAGGTGAACAAAGGCTGAATATACGACGCGAACAGTCAAGTGCGGAATAAAACCTGGCGGTAGCGGGACTAAAGAAAATGAGTAGCGGGTGAACAAAGGCTGAATATACGGTGGGAGCGATCAAGTGCGGAATAAAACCTGGCAGTAGCAGGACTAAAAAAGATGAGTCACGTGGCATTCATTTCATTAGTGGACACAAAAGTAGACATGTAACTTAAGCTTTTAAGCTTAAAAAATGGTGTAAAATGCCATAAAACTAGTATAGGAGTCATCTATATGTGCAGTCTTGTAGAAATTATTTATTGAAAACTTTCATTTGAGAAATGGAAATTTAACACTGACTAATATTTTAGTTTGTTTATCACATATCATATCACAATAATTACGTGATTTCGAAAGAAAACTTGAAAGCCTAAAAATTAAAGCCTAAAAACATATATAAGGTCAGTAAACAGCTTCCCCTTTAAAAAGACTGAAGTTCTAAATTTAGCTTTTTAAATACTAAATCCTACTGGTTTATTGGCATCTTTGAGCTGGAATAAAGGATTCTTCACACCAAGAATCAAAATATAAAAAAAAAAAAAACAACTGAAGAACACCACACTACAGCTATTATAATAACAGTGGGAATCCCTGTCAGAATGATTTTCCCCCTCCAATGAATGAAAAACATTGACAACCAATCAGAATGTAGCTCTCTTTAAAGAGCTTTACAGAGCATTTAAAGCTGCAGTCAACAGAACTACAGTACATGCTTATATAAAGCACTGTTATCATGTGTTCAGTATAGTTTTTGCTTTTGGTTTGAGCAAGAATTCTCAAACAATTGTTTTATTACTTTTTCATGCAGTCAACTTCCAGTTCAGGAGACTGAGATCTCCTCTGCCACATCTCTTCCTGCTAAGCTGGAGCTGTCGCCCCTGCGCGAGCCGCCCGCGTCCTGTCCGCCCCCTGCGTCGCCCACCTCAAACAGCAGCAGGCAGGCAGATCCAGAGGAAGAGGGAATCGCTCACACCATCTCACGCTCTCCTGAGTCCAACAGCTGCAGGGCCACGTACACCAACCTGGGTAAGGCAAACACTCACACACACACACACACACACATTTGATGGTTCACTTTATACACTCTGTCCATTTATTTGGGTGTGCAGTGTAAGGTTCTGACCTGATTTGGCTGGCTCACGCTGATAAATTTGGGTTGTCATGGCAGCAGTGTGCGCGAGAGCATTTCTAGACCCATAAATAAGATCAGTTCTCTCGATCTTTCAATTTGAAGTCATTTAGTTGATTGAGTCGCCCTGAAGTTGTGCCGTGAAGTGAGGTATGGTTGTCACTGTATTGCTTTGCTCCCTTTTTAAGTTATTGTTGGGTTTATTTGTAAGATTTGTTGCACTGGATGGTTTATGTAGACTTGCTCGCAGCAAAATTAAATTGCAACTCTTGTATGTCATGGATGGAAAAATATATATATTAAGGCTGGTAACTGATATGATGTGATGGTTGGGCATGGGTATCGTTAAGGTTTTAACGATATTACTACTTTTATCGATACCACTTATTGGTTCGGTACTTTAACGGTTCAATTATCGGTTATTTTTGTACTGTTTTTTTATTTTAAAAAAACAAACTGAATTAATCAAAATTGACAACATTTTATAATTAAGTTTTTAATGTAAAATAATGCAAAACCAATAAATGTAAAACAAATAAATCTTAAATTTTCCTGTTACAGAATGGACAATGGTTTGAAGGAAAATTAGTTTTTAACCTTTTTTCCTCTGGAGAAAAATCCACATGTTTGCCTTTTCTTTTCTGGCAGAAGTCGGGATCTTTCTTAGTTTCTTGTGCGCCCTGCAGTTGAAAATACACTCTTTTAGTTACAAAATGCAGTTAAATAATCAGATAATGCTTTCAATCTTTCTTTAACACATTCACATAAATGAGTCACCAGTGTTTGGGGAGTTAACAATGTAAAAATAAGCCGTTTTCTTTTTTAATTTCTTAATAAGATTAGTGGTCCCACTTTATATTAAGTGGCCTTAACTAATATGTACTTACACAGGAATTACTAGTTTTATACAATGTTATTATTGTGTAAATGCATGTATTTACTATGTACTTATGCTTGATTAAATACCTGTATGTAAATGCATCTGTAATTAACTGGTCACACTTTACAATAAGGTTCACTAGTTAATGTTAATTAATGCATTTACTAACATGAACAAACAATGAACAATACATTTACTACTGTATTTGTTCATGTTAGTTAACGTTAGTTAATGAAAATACAGTAGTTCATTGTTAGTTCATGTTAACTCATGGTGCATTAACTAATGTTAACAAGCATGTTAATAATGCATTTGTAAATGTTCAATTATGATTAATAAATGCTGTACATGTGTTTTTCATGATTAGTTCATGTTAGTAAATGCATTAACTAATGAACCTTATAGTAAAGTGTTACCAATTAACTTCTGTAATTACATTTGTAAATACACTGTTGACCATCCCTTACACCTTAACCCACCCTTAAACTAACCATACCACCAAACCTGTCCATAATCTAACCCCTGTCCCAACTCAAGAGCACCACAAGTGTTCTCAAATACATTATGAACACAGTTAGTACACTGTATTTATATTTTTAATGCAAGTACATAGTGGTGTACAAATACAGTAATGTAAATGCATTTTTAATGTTTAAGATTTATTTAGGCTACTGCAGAAAAAAAATACTGTCTTCATTGTAACCGAATGTGTGTGTTTTAATATTATACTAATTTTGAGAGACCCTATGTGATTGACTGCTAGCATAATGATGTGGATGATGTACCTTAAGCTAGTCAGTCGAAAACTTTTCATTTGTCTTTCTGCAGTTAATGCACTTTTGAAAGTCAGATTGCTTGCGTTTTCGCTTGTACAAGACAACAGCTTGTTGCGTTTGTTGCAACAGGCATTGTCGCGATCCACTTGGGAAATAAATCAAATCAAATCCCTTTTATTGATGTGACAATAAAAGTGATCTGATTTGATTTAAAATACAACTCGTTTGTTTCTCTCCACCACTCCACAAGCTTACGAGCTGTGTGAGTGGGAGTCTGTGTTGCGAGCTATGTGTGTAATTAGCGCGAGCCTCCACCGAGCGCACGCGCACAGCCGAGAACTGTGAAGGCTTTTATACTTGATGTGTGTTGTACTATTGGCCGAAAACACAAGCATTTCTTGTGCGAGATTGCCAACTGTGCAGTTGAATATCGCAAATTAGAAAAGGTTGGTCAATTAACTAATGCTTATGTACGTAATGTTTATTCAGCAATAATTCTCCAGTACCGATAGCAGAACTGTTAACGTCAGAGCTTATCGATACTTCTGTCTTTTATAATTTAGCACTGGTACGATATTGTTCCGAGTTTTGGTAACCATCCCTAGTGTTGGTACTGTTTTGTCTGGGACTTTTTAAAATATGTTTAAAGATCTGATTCTAGACAGATCCACAATCTTTAAATTGCTTTAGTCAGTTAATAAATGTCAGTTACCTTTACCATGTTAAATGTGGTATAATGTGCAATATGTATGCAAGTTCTTTGCTTCTAGTTTTGGTCAGTGCAATATTTAAAGACTAATAATATTGCCAAAATATCCTAAATCTAACCTCAAATAAGACTTTGAGAGGTAATTGTTTATAAAACTACTAGTTCTCTATGGAATGCAAAAAAAAACAAGATGCATTCAAATTTTCCCAGGTGTGTAGTAATCGGGGAAATCAGGGATTCAGTTTTTTAGACACTTTAATGATCACATTTCTGAGAGACTGACAGGTTATCCAATCGAGTCCATCTAGAGCAGGGGTGTCAAACTCAATTCCTGGAGGGCCGAAGCCCTGCACAGTTTAGTTCCAACCCTGCTCCAACACACTTACCTGTAGGTTTCAAACAAGCCTGAAGGACTCAATTAGTTTGATCAGGTGTGTTTAATTAGGGTTGGAACTAAACTGTGCAGAGCTGCAGCCCTTTTGGAACTGAGTTTGACACCTGTGATCTAGAGGGATGAATGTGAGAAAATAGGTAATTTTCAGCTGTGATGAGGGACTGGGGTTTCTGTTGGCTACTTTCTGTCCTCCATATTCTTATATTCCACATAGCTGACCGTCAGTATTGCACTATGATCACTAAGACTAATGAACCCCTGAACTGTGCTGCGAAATGGGTCTCAAAGGGGTTAAATCGCTGCCTTCTAATTTTGTGCTGACTCTTTGATCATTTTATAGACTTGACCTACAAAAATCCCTGTCCTGGTGAAAGAGCCTCAGAGGAAGCCTCCGTCTGAGATTATTGGGAGATTAAACCAGATTAGTGAGGAATGTTAGAAGAGGTTTCTCGCTGTTAAATAATTCCTAACTCATATTCCACGTCCCTGTGGACACAGCGTGTGTGAACTGCTATAAGACTGTTCATCCAACAGACAGAGACATGGTAAAAGGGAACAAGAAAGCAAGGTTAGGCGATGCTACGAGTTATCCAAAGTAAATTTAACAAGTTAACAAGCTTTGTTGTTTAGAATTATCATAAAATGATTTCTTTTTGGTTTATATTCCTTGCAAATTTATTAATGTTTATTTTATAGTCATTATTCGTCATCTCTCACTCCACAGGTCAGTCCAGGGCCAACATGATCCCTGTCAAACATCCCAGGCATCCTAAAGCATCCGATGACACCTTAACCTCTGACCCGGAGGTTTCTGAGCTCACGAATAAATCCACCCCTCCTCCACTTCCCAAAAAGTTAGTTCCACGTGCTCAAATAGACTCGTCTGCTGCAGGTAAAGAACTTGCCCCACGGCCCAAAGGAGAAGCCAGACCTGGTGGGACCAGTCTAAGCGTTGCCAATCCACTTTATGATCTCGAGTCCACTTGGGACACGGCCAGTCAGAGCTCCTCGCTAAGTTCAGAGGCACGGCATCATGATGAATCAGGAGACTCTTTGGAGTGTCCCGTAGGCGGACGAAGCCTGTCTTGTTTGACCAGTAGCACCTCCATGCAAGGATGTGACCGGCGGGGCTACCGCAGTACAGAGAGTCTGACAGCCCGCACACGAGGCCCTGGGAGACTCACTAAAGGACAGAAACAGATGCCATATAGAGGCATGGAGAGCTGGGAGGAAGTGGTCGGGAGGATCAGAGGCCTACACACAGATACTCTCCGTAAGTTGGCAACCAGATGTGAAGATCGTTTCATGGCTGGACAAAAAGATCATCTTCGCTTCGGGACAGACAGCTGGTCTCACTTCCGATTGACTGCGGGAAAACCCTGCTGTGAGGCGGGAGATGCCGTGTACTACACTGCATCTTTCGCCAAAGAGCCTCTGATGAACTACGCTGTCAAGGTGAGAATTCTTACTTGTATTTATTGGTGCATGTCCAGGAAATGAATTCAGAAAGTTGAGGAATGGTCAATTGCGCAACTCAGAAACATTGATTCTTGCAAAAGTTGCAATTGGGGGATTCGTCTAACAGGGGTGTCCTGGAGGGCCAGTGTCCTGCAGATTTTAGCTCAAATTTGTCTCAACACTCATTCAAGGATGTTACTAGAAAGCCTGATAAGAGCTTGATTGGCTAGCCTAGGTGTGGCTAATTGGGGTTGGAACTAAACTTTGCAGGACATCGGCCCTCCAGGACTTAGTTGGCCAGCCCTGATCTAAAACTTGATTTCAATACAGTCTCTTTTTAGCATGTTGCTAAGCTAACAGATTATTTCTTTGACATGCCAAACTAAATTATTGCACACATTGAGTTTGTCACAATGCATTATAACATTTTCCACAACGGATGCATTTGGTGGTTACTTCCCTAAAATAAGGGGTCTATCGTAGCAAGGCCAATCAATTTTGCTTCCTTTAATGAAACTCCACTTCTTTGGCAGGAGCACTTTTAGCTTAGCTTAGCATAGATCATTAAATTAGATTAGATTATTAGCATCTCACTGAAAATTGACCTGAGTTTCAGTAATTTTCCTATTTAAGCTTGAGTTTGCTGTAGTAACATCATGTACTAAGACTGACCAAAAATTTTAAGGGTGCTTTCACACCTGTGAATCGATTCAGTTACTCCGAAACAGAGATTACAAATGTTACATTGTTGCTCTTTGCTCTTGGTGCGGTTCGCTTTCACAATGCAAAGTTTCTAATCGGACCAAAAGAGCTAAAACAAGTCACGTGCGAGTAAACTCTCCTTACATTGGTCAGAGTGTCAGGGTTTATTTTGCAGCGTCCCGCTCAGCTGTCAGGAGAGGTGGTGGTTTGGTGGTGATTGACAGGGTGCGCGCACGTGACGTGTCTGAGGAGAGATGCGGTGGGGAGGGGTGAGAAGGGTGCGCGACGATGCCTATTTGAGGACTGGGAGGAAGACACGAGATTACCGGGAGATGATCACTCGTTTGCGGGCATCTGGAGACTCCCGAAACTTCCTGCTATACATAATTCTCTCTTCATATAGCCGTATGCGTATTACATATCCATAAAACACTGTGATATAACCGCGCTCGGATCGGATCGCTTTCTCACTGCAATCGAACCGCTCTAGGGTTCGTTTCAATAGAGCCGAGACCACCTCATTCAAGCGATCTCGGAGCAATTACTTTGGCGCGGAACAGAGCGCGATTGCCCTGTTCACATATGCCAAACGAACCGCGCTAACTGGGCAAACGAGACACGTTCCGAAACAAAAGTGTAGGTGTAAAAGCACCCTAAGATGGATATCAGCTGAATGGATTTAAAAATGGTAAAACTCCACTGTTTACCTCTAGGGTAGTTGTAAAATTAAGCTATTAAAAAAAACAGAGTGTTGCTTTAATGCTATTATTGCTATTAACTATTTTCAACATCTTATCACCTATATTTTCGGCCCCTGTCAAATATGATCAAGCTCTACTTGTATTCTATCAGTTTTGCACCCTTTGTGCTGGCAGCTTTTCTATGATACCTAAAAAAGCAGCCTTGGCAGATATTTCTGATGAATATTAATGTTCCCGTTTTGTCTGATCTCAGATCTGTCGAGGTGTGGTGAAGGAGACCCAGCAGCAGTTTTTCCACAGCCTAGCCGTTCGGCAGAGCATTGCTGTTCACTTCAACATCCAGCAGGACTGCGGGCACTTTCTGGCAGACGTTCCAGCACGCCTGCTTCCTTGGGAGCAAAAGGAGGATAAAGATGAGCGAGGCGGTACAGAAGGAGGAGAAGATGAAAAAGAGGATGCAGCAGGTCCAGGTGGGAAACTCTGCAGTTGTGTTGTAGTGATCACTCGTGAGGTGCCCTTCCAGACAGTGGCGGATTTCGTACGTGAAGGTGTGGAGCGGCACGCAAGAAACCCTGAGCTCTATGAACGGCAGGTGTGCCTGCTGCTCCTGCAGTTGTGTGCGGGATTGGAGCACATGAAACCCTACCACGTCACGCATTGCGATCTGCGCCTCGAGAACCTCCTCCTGGTACACTGTCAGCCTGGAAACCCTTGGAACCTGGAGCTCCTGGAACCGAACAACAACGCCGCATCCGGATCTTCCACTGCAGCAGCTTCTGCATGTCCTGCTCGCCTCATTATCAGCAACTTTTCTCAGGCCAAACTCAAGAACGTGGTACTGGAGCCTGCTTCGTTCCGAGACCATTCCCGTCTGGCACCCGAACTTCTCACTGCCACACAGTACCGCAAGTGCGATGAATTCCAGACCGGCATACTAATCTATGAGATGCTACATCGTCCGAACCCATTTGAGGATAGTCCGGAGCTAAAGGAGAGGGAATACTGCAGCTCTGATTTGCCCCAGTTGCCACTACGATCCCTCTACTCCAACGGCCTTCAACAACTCGCCACATTGCTTCTCAACCCTAACCCTTCCGAACGCATCCAGATGGCGGATGCAAGGGCATGTTTGCAGTGTCTTTTATGGGGTCCACGAGAGGATCTGTTTAATTCGCTGAACCCTGGAGCCGGGACAGTCCAACGACACACTGTCCTGCAGAACTGGCTGGACCTGAAGCGAACACTTATGATGATCAAGTTTGCGGAGCGTTCTTTGGAATCGGGCTGCGGTGTGAGTTTGGAGGACTGGTTGTGCTGTCAGTATCTGGCTTTCTCTACCACTGAATCTCTCAGTAGAGTGATAAAGATCCTGCAGCAGCCGCAGGGTGTGCTTATATGATTTTATGTGCTTATATCACACTAAGGACACTTGTGCGCTGTACAGAAGTGTGATTTTTATTCGAGGAACCTAATCTTTTGACTTTGTTGGTGAATGTGTTTGCGTTTGGTTTACTTGTGATTTGGACTGTGGTGATAGATTGATGCATTGCGAATTGAGAAATGATTCTGCATCGATTTCTACGAATTCATTGTGATTTCTCTCTTGAATTGACTCAGAGCTTAGTTTTAACAAAACACTTGCAGCCATACTTGCATCCAATTTCTTAGACACACTACTTACTAAAATAATCATTCATAAAGTTAGGAAAGATTTGAGCGAATTACAATTTCTCTTAGTGAGCTGTTTAAAATAAACAAAGTCCGAGGTATATTTGAACACTTGCATGACTCACTAAATGCACAAGCAGTCTCATTTGTGAGCGTTTAAATATGGGAAATCCTATCGTAATCTAGAACGCAATCTGCATTAAAAACTATAATACAGCTACATCTATTATTTAAAAACTGGAATTCAGCGCCATCTGCTGTTAAACTAGCCTGGAACACCATTTGCAATTGAAAACTAGCTTAGAGCGCAATCTGTTGTTATAAACTAGCCTACAGCGCCATCTTAGAGTGCCATGTGCGATTGAAAACTAGCCTAGAGTGCCATCTGCCATTGAAAACTAGTGTAGATCGCTATCTGTTGTTAAAAACTAGCCTAGAGTGCCATCTGCTATTGAAAACTAGCGTAGATCAACATCCGCTGTTATAAACTAGCCTACAGAGCATCTACTTTTAAAAATACAAGCCTACAGTGCATTTGCTGTTAAAAACTAGCCTAGAGCAACATTTGCTATTAAAAACTATTGTAGAACACCTTCTGCTGTTAAAAACTATCCAAGAGCATCATTTGCTATTAAAAACTAGCATAGATCAGCATCTGCTGTTAAAAACTATCCAAGAGCGCCATTTGCTATTGAAAACTAGCATATATCGCCAGTCGCTGTTATAAACTTGCCAACAGCTCATTTACTTTTTTAATACTAACCTACAGCGCCATCTGCTGTTAAAAACTAGGCTAGAGTGCCGTTTGCTATTGAAAACTAGTGTAGATCGCCATCTGCTGTTAAATACTAGCCTACAGTGCCATCTGCTGTTAAAAACTAGCCTAGAACACCATTTAATATCGAAAACTAGAGTAGATCGCCATCTGCTGTTAAAAACTAGCCTAGAGCACCATAAGCTATTGAAAACTAGCATAGATCGCCAGCCGCTGTTATAAACTAGCCTACAGCACATCTACTTTTTAAAATACTAACCTACAGCGCCATCTGCTGTTAAAAACTAGCCTAGAGCGCCGTTTGCTATTGAAAACTAGCGTAGATTGCCATCTACTGTTAAAAGCTAGCATAGATCGCCATCCGCTGTTATAAATTTGCCTACAGCACATCTACTTTTAAATACTAGCCTACAGCGCCATCTGCTGTTAAAAAACTAGCCAAGAGCCCCATTTGCTATTGAAAACTAGCGTAGATCACCATTGCCTACAGCACATCTACTTTTAAATACTAGGTTACAGCGCCATCTGCTGTTGTAATCTAACCCACAGCACATCAAATTTAATTTCTAGCCTACAGCATCATCTGCTGTTAAAAACTAGCCTAGAGCACTATTTACTATCAAAAACTAGCATAAATCTCCATCTGCTGTTTGAGACTAGCCCACAGAGCATCTATTTTTAAATACTAGCCTACAGCACCATCCACTGTTATAAACTAGCCTACAGCACATCTACTTTTAAATACTAGCCCGCAGCGCCATCTGCTGTTATAAACTAGCCTACAGAGCATCTACTTTTAAATACTAGCCCGCAGCGCCATCTGCTGTTATAAACTAGCCTACAGAGCATCTACTTTTAAATACTAGCCTACAGCGCCATCTGCTGTTAAAAACTAGCCTAGAGCACTATTTACTATCAAAAACTAGCATAAATCTCCATCTGCTGTTGTAGACTAGCCTACAGAGCATCTTCTTTTAAATACTAGCCTACAGCGCCAACTGCTGTTATAAACTAGCCTACAGAGCATCTACTTTTAAATACTAGCCTACAGCGTCATCTGCTGTTAAAAAGTAGCCTAGAGCACTATTTGCTATTAAAAACTAGCATAAATCGTCATCTGCAGTTATAAACTAGCCCACAGAGCATCTACTTTTAAATACTAGCCCACAGCACCATCTGCTGTTGTAGACTAGCCTACAGAGCATCTACTTTTAAATACTAGCCCACAGCGCCATCTGCTGTTATAGACTAGCCTACAGAGCATCTACTTTTAAATAATAGCCTACAGCGCCATCTGCTGTTAAAATCTAAGCTCGCAATTGATTCCAGAGAGAATCGTGATGTATTCCGAACGTCTAAGAAACGCTACACAAATCCGTTTATCGTCCCAGCCTGACTTGTGATACCATGCAGAGAGTCCGAACAAACCGTTTACAGGATGAAAAGTGACAAGGTGAAGTCATGTTTAACTCCACAGATAATGGCACATTTATAGAGCTGCTTTTATAAACAAAGTGAAACTGCATGATGCGTGTATGTGTGTGTGTGCGTGAGTATGTCGTGGGTTTATAATAGTTATGCTTTACGTTCTGCTGTAGGGACTTGTGTTTATCAGCAGGAAACCACTGATCCGACATTAGCGGCATCATGATTTATGATTCCAGTTACTCATGAAACGATCGACTGAGTATTACGTATCATCACATGTTGGAGGTTATGTTAGGACCCCCAAAACGAGAGTCACATTAGGTCACTGAATGAATGGATTCGAGTCTGTCATGCCTTACCTTATATGTGTCTGTGTGTGTATATAAATAGAGATATTGATTTATGGAAAGAGGCAAATACTTCATCTTCCGTCTGTCATTTCACGCAAATGTTTAGCAGATCCTGAAATATCATACTGATTAGTTCGAGAGAGTACAGATTGGATATTTTTCTACCACAACAAAAGCACTGTAAAGTTTACCAAAGACGTAACACTTTGAACCGCATATTTTTTACATAAGCGAAGAGATCATATAATATACCCTCCCTTATCAAGAAAGTGTCCTTATGTATCTTAAACGAATGCAGTTTGGATCTCCAGCAGCCTTCAAAGTACACCAAACTCGTCCTAATCAAACTGGAGTCACTCCAGATTCCGACCGTAGCATTCACACTTGCAGAAAACACTACAACTTGCTTTTTGAGACATATCAGGATGAACCTAATCCCGATTACCAACCGAATATCCCAATGGGCATGTGTGTGCAATCATTAAAAGCAAGTGTTAACATTTGTTACAGTATTTTAGATGTGTTTAACGCACTTGATATTCTCAGCATGCAGTTATTATCTTGCTGTTCGTGTTCGGCACATAATTAATAAGAAATGCCAGATCAAATCCTATTCGATTGTGTGTGTGTGAAGCTTTAGTTTGAAGCAGGGACGGCACATTCTTAAGCATCGTGTCTTTTGTTGTAGTATTGTTTTGAGGTGTGAATGTTTGTGTTTCAGACTATGGCAATATAGAGATGGACTTCAGAGTGAAATGTGCCACTGCATCCCAGTTTGTTTACTACCGCATACTACACACACAGGTATGTACTTCAGGGGTGATGGGAGAGAATATACATGTTTGAATGCATTTGCTAAATTATTTTTTGTATTTATATGCCATGTCGAAGATTAGATGTACAGTTTTTCATTATTACAACTGTAAAACTGTTACAATCTGCCTTTTTTGTATGGAGGTAATGTTATGCCAAAACTATCTGAATTTGAATTGTGTTCATTTGAATTATTGACAATTGTGATAAAATAAATCTGAATTTTTATTTGACTTTAAAAATGTTTTTTTAATTTGAGTTTCATAACTTAAATATTAAACATCTGAAATTTTAGACAACGGAATTTTTCAAGGCTGAATTTTTTACAGACGCATTTGTAAACAAAATTTGTCTTCTGAGTTCATAGACTGCAGATATTGGGTTTGTACAGTTTAAAATCAGTTCAGAACATCAAATTCAATATCCTAAAATTCAAAACCAGAAATTCAGATCATGAAATTCAAATTCAGCAAAAAGAAGGTCAGGGGTGAACAACAGGGAAGAGTAGACGACCACCGAAAAGTCAAACTAAGAGTGCTTTCACATCTGTAGTTCGCTTCATTTGGTCCGGACCAAGGGCAATAAATAATACATTGTAGCATTTTCTGCCGTCTGCCGATTACTTTGGTCCAAACCAGTTAAACTAAATCGAAATGCAGTCATCTGACAAAATCCACATCTCTCATTGGCCAGATGTTGTTGAACATGTTTCCTGAACTGCTTATCGATTGGTCAGAATTTACGTGCGGGAAAATGCCAATAGAACTCCCTCAGGTAAACAAACCGGCAGACACAAAAAGTCGCTTTTTACTATGGAGGGTCGACTGCACTGACTGATTGTATCCCTGCTCATAGTTTACTATATAGCTTGCATACATCACTTTAGACAAACTATACGTTTTGAGAATGAAGCGCGGCTGGGGCTGGAAAACAATGTTTTAATGCAATAGGAGGCGTGAATTAATTTAGCTTAACTGCGACATGGTCATCCTGCGGAAATATTACCAACGATTCATCAGCTAATGATTTCCCTCTCTTTACTGGTAAAGCGCTGTCAACAAATATTTTTCCTCAATATCCCATAATGCACAGAGCATTGGACTACAGCAGCTGGATTAGTCCAAAAGGCACAGGTTGGGCACTTTTTGCGGTTGGGTCTGTTTTAGTTTAGATCATATTCTCACCACAAACAAACCGCTGCAGGGTTCGTTTGAAACAGTACCGAGATCACCTCTTCAAGCAGGTCTCGGTCTGCTTTTTTGGTCTGCTTTTGGTGCACACTTGAGTACGATTTCTGCATTCACACCTGCCCAAACGAACCGCATCAAGAGGGAAAACGAACTCCAGTTCAATTCAACCAAACTAAGTAAGGCAGGTGTGAAAGCACCCTAAGAATCACTCGCCTCTGCTTGATTAATAGTTATGGACGAATTATAGGGTGCGAATTACGAGGGTGGGGGGTTTGGTAGGGTCTGGAAATAGGTAAAAATAAAGGTTTTTATCTACATTTAGCCTAATGTAAAATCAAACTCGTTTGTATATATGGAAGGCTGCTTTCGGTTTCAGGTCACATAGAACATACATTATGTTGAAAACTCGTTAAGTGGCTTTCCCTGTACTCTATTCACATCAATATAGACTTTTTAACACCTCTTATGTTGTTACCATTTGAAACAAAGTTTTAGGCACTTAACAAACAAGGTTAACGAGAAATCTCTGAGCGAGTCATTCATAGTGAGTCACGTAATTCATTTATAAATGAGCTGATTCGTGTGAATCTGAATGAAAAATTCAGTGGCAGAGAGATTTGGCGCCACCTATTGGACATTTTGGCTTCAATGTATTTTAGCCAAAAGTAATGTCATATCTTTAAATATAAGGAAAAATTCAGCCTTGAAAAAATCAGTTGTCTTAAATTTCAAATATTCAACATTCAAGTTATGAAATTTAAATTGAGTAATTCAAACTTTTCAAGGCATATAAAAAATCTGATTTATTTATTACAATTGTCAATAATTTGAATTAACACAATTCAAATTCAGATTGTTTTGGCATATTATTAGCTCCATACTTTGTAGCATATTTATGGATAATAGTTACTTAATGGAATAGTTCACCCAAAAATTAAAGAATTTTACTTACTTTTTCAATTGTTTCATCTGTTAAACCAACGCAATCTCACAGCAATTCATACATGTTTGATTTAGTGGCTAATTCGTGTGAATTCGTACAATCTAATTCAGACAATTTAGTACCATTTGCTCATCACCCAATGACGGTTAGGGGTGGGGTTAGGTGCCACGCCTCCTTTTTAAAATCATACATTTTCGTACGACTGAACTCGTACAAATAAGCCACTAAACTGACAAAACGTAAAATACTTGCGTTTTCTCTTGAGATCAAGCTGGTTAATCAAAAAAGAAGATACTTTGAGAAGTGCTGTAGCTGCCACCTATTGTCCTCCATAGTATTTTTATAGTGTTTTAAAGAAGTTGATGGGTGCCAGCTACCAGCATTCTTCAAAATATCTTATTTTGTGTTTAAAAAAAAAAAGGTGTAAAACATCACGAGAGAGAATAAATAATATATATTTTTTCAATTTGGGGTTGAACTTTCCCTGTAAATTTCAAGTAAATCACCCAGATATCTTTTTATGTAAACTAAGAGGCGAACTAAATCTAATCTCGCATATTTAATAGTATGCAAATTGGGATGCAGATGTTGTCGTGTTGTTTTTTTTCTTTTAGGTATTAGGGTAAATTACAGAAAGGGATTTAATGATGATTGATGGTGTATGAGAACAGGTTTCTGTGAGGTCATTGGCTCAAGAAGCTGTCAATCACACAATAGGGCGGGACCATCGGTTAGAAATAGTTCCAGTTCCATCATTAGAGGCGTATGTGTGAGTGTGATGTTCGCAGGTCACACTTTAGCAATATGTTGTATTGAATTATATTTGTATATATTAATTTTTTGAGTGTAGTTTTACATCATTTTAGCTTTACGAGTCACCGGGTGAATTTGAGTGAGAATGAAAGTGTCAGCAGATGTCTGTAGTGTGTGTGTGTGTCTGTGTGTGTGTGTTGTCACTCATCCACCATCCGTCTTATCAGTTTCTTTCACTTCATTTCACTCAACTCATGTATTTACTGTTATTTACACATGTTTATTGCCAGTGATTTCACAGAACGGCTTTTTACCTACAACTGCATATCTCATGGTATTTAGCTCTACATTACTGAGTTAACTGCTCATAATAAATCTATGAATATGTTTTTAAACATGACTTGTCTGTGTGCTTTAAGAAAAAACACTGCTCTCTCATATTGGTTATTAATGCTTCTTAATAATGTGTTGCAGTAAAGAGCTACCTGAATTAACCTTAATTGATATACGGTTTAGTTTGGATTCTAGGTATGTGGCTTAAATGTAAATAATTGACATTTTACATGGTAAACATGAAGATATTAATACTCTTCTTTAAAAGGAAAATGGCATTCTGTACCTAAATCAAATGCATGGATTTTATCTGACACACTTTAATCAAACTGGAGTCACTCCAGATTCTGATCGTAGCATTCACACTTGCAGAAAATTTTAATTTATAATAATAATCATAATTATTAATAATCATAATTTTATTGAATAGCAAACTTTATATCTTCACATGTAGAATTATTGAAAGCAAGTGTTTATCATATAGACATTTTTTAAATAACAAATATATTTTTCTAAATATCTTTAATTAAAATTACACAAACACATTATTTAAATATAATAGAAATACATTGATTTAAAAAAATAATTCCTTGGATATACTAAATTTAGTTTAAGGTAAGTAGTTGTAAACAATTGATTTGGGCTGAATTTAAACAAACAAATTAAGTTGAACAATACTAAATTGAATTTGATTGTTTAAATTCAGCCAATATAATAAAAATTTTAACAATTTTGCAGACATCATGTTTTCAGACAGAATTGTTTTGTCTTTACGCAATTTTTTTTTTTTTTTTTTTTTAGTGAGTATGCAAGTTTTTTAATATTTAAAAGACAACAACGGTAGTCAGAAATATCTGGAAAAAGGCATGCAAATAATGTATTTGTCAGAAATTTGAGTCTATAGAATTTTAAAATTATTTTCACTTTTTATCATTCAGAATTAACTATTAGTAATGAATTAAATGTTTCACTATTCAGTAGTCCTGATAATTACAATATGATTTATTATTATAAAATATATATTGTGATTTTAAAAAGTTCAGTAGTATGGTAATATTTCTTAGTTTTGTGTGTTTAAATGATAGTAATTATTAATAGTATTTTTATTATTATTGGGCATCACGGTGGTGCAGTGAGTAGCACGATCGCCTTGGTCAGTTGGCATTTCTGTGTGAGTTTGCATGATCTGCCTGTGTTCGTGTGGGTTTCTTCCGGGTGCTCTGGTTTCCCCCACAATCCATAGACATGTGCTATAGGGGAATTGGGTAAGCTGAATTGTCCGTAGTGGATGAGTGTGAATGAGAGTGTATGTTTCCCAGTACTGGGTTGCAGCTGGAAGGGCATCCGCTGCGTAAAACATATTCTGGATAAGTTGGCGGTTCATTCCGCTGTAGCACCCCTGATTAATAAAGGGACTAAGCTGAAAAGAAAATAAATTTATTATTATTATTTAAAAAATAAATACACCAATAGGATCTATTTCCTCTGTTAATTTTGCCTGTTTTAAAGGTCACATGAAGAAGTGCTTTGAAATATGGATTTTTATTCGATGTTTGACGTAATCTGGAGAGGCTGGGACAGAGAGTAGCCCAGGTGCATTGCTAGGTATAAAGCTCTACTGGGGCGTATATATATATATATATATATATATATATATATATATATATATATATATATATATATATATATATATATATATATATATATATGAAGAGTTAAGATGCAAAAACCTCTCAAAGCCATTTGATAATTTCTTCTGAAATTAGCATTTTTCACTAACTCTTGTGTTGAAAAAAAAAATAATAATATAATATATATATATATATATATATATATATATATATATATATATTTTTTTTTTTTTTTTTTAAATAAAAGTATTGTTATTATACAATTATTATTCTACATGAATAACAGAAATAATCCTAAATTTAACCGGAAAACAGTATAAAAACACAGCTGGAGTGATATGCTAAGATCATTTAAGATGTATTTTTATTTTTTTTTTTAAAGATTTGCATTATTTTACAACTTTTTGCAGATCTTTTTTTAGATTTGCATTATTCTAAAAATTTTAGAGAATTGCTTTATTTTACTTTTTTTTTAGATTTGCGTTATTTTTTGTTTTTTGCTTTTTTGAGATTTGCATTCTACAATTATTTTTTGAGATTTGTGTAATTTTACAATTTTATCAGAGATTTGCATTATTCTACTTTTTTGCGATTTGCGTAATTTTTTTTTTTTTTTTTTGCGATTTTTTTTTTTTTTTTTTTTTTTTTGTATATTTTACAATTTTTTGCTCAATACTCTTTGACTGCAAAACCTATTTTATGTTGCAAGTATATATGGCCCTAGATTGACGACTCCATAATTAACAGATCAACATATATATATATATATATATATATATATATATATATATATATATATATATATATATATATATATATTTATATTTATATATATATATATATATATATATATATATATATATATATATTGATTTGATGCATTTTTATAGCCGTGGATGTGTTCATCACTAACATAACATAAGGATTGTGAATTTAAACAGTGCACAAGGGTTAATGTAAAAAAAAAAAAAAACATTACAATAGACCGTTAAAAGATATCGTAAACTACAAATATTTTTTGAGTCAACAACCATCTTCATATTTTTAAAAAAATCTTTGACCTTTTATCTGCCACAAGAGGGCGCCACAACACAGCTTATATAACATTATAGCCCAACACCACCATATGCTGCTCATAAAGCTCGTATAATCTCTGATAGCACCCGCTGTGTCGTTTCCTCACATCTCAGCATTTTTTCAGAGTAAACAAACCCTTCGCCCTCAGATCAATAACAATAACGCAGCGAGACTCTTCACACATCTGAAAACGAATGACATTAACAGTAATAACACCCATTACAGTCCTGTAGAGACATGATCGGGTCTCTCGAGGAGTTTAAACCTCTTCAATCTCTTTAGCATCTTACATTTCTCTGAGAAATGGAAAGGGACGTGCTGATCATCTTGTGCGTGTGTGTGTTTGTTCCGGTGTATGAACAGATTACAGTGTGAGTCAGTGTGTGTAAAGCCGTTGTTGATTCTCCTCAGGACATGATGCTTGTGTTATTATACACACGTGAATGTGAGTTGTACATGACACTCTGCAAACGAGGAATAACACAAGTATAGCCTACACACATCCCTCAGCTCACACACACCACCAATACCTGCAGGTAAGGACATTTTGTTTACTGTAATTAGTAGTATGAAGCTATTTGTTTGCAGGATATAAACTGTAAATTGATTTAGTTTCGTCCTTTATATTAGTTAATAACATAATAATAATTAAATCTTTTTAAAGTACACCAATACCAGAATATTAATTTGTTATAAATACTAAATTAGATAATAATGTACAAAAAACAACAACAACATAACATTATATTGTGTCATGTTTAATACAGGAACCAATTTACTTCAATGCAGTGTCGTAATAATATCTTGGTATTATGATGTATGGCAAAACATTAAATGTATTTTTAGTTTATTATCAATATTATATACAAATAAAATATTATTATTAATATTATTGTCAATGAGGTGTCAGGCCCGTAGCCAGCCTAATAAAATGAGTGGTTCTTTTTTTCTCATAAAGTAGACCTTTTTGCAGTTATTTTCCTCATTTTCTATTAAATTATAAGATTCAAATGCTGCATGTTTTGACATTTTAAGCACTCATTTATTGCTACATATGGTCTCTGTGCTTACCATACTACCTTATGTTTATGAAAATTTGTGTTTATTTACAAATGTGCATTCAGTAATTGTAGTTTTTTAAATAATGTAATTAGATTATAATTTTAAATAAACATTTTTGAACGAAGAAATTTGAAAAATAATGCTAATATATTCTTAAATTTGTCTTAAAGTCTTCTGTCTAGAGAGAAATAAAGACATAAAACTATGATAAAAAATTACAACTTTTGGGAGAACTATCCCTTTAAATATTTATAAACTTTCATTTCAAAAGGCCTCTAAAAGCTGGGACTGACGGATTATGAATAATGACAGGAAATTTGCTCACAACAGGTGATTTCAACTCTGATATGCAGGCCGGTAGCCAGTCTGGTGCACGGGGTGGTGGTTTTTTCTCAAAAAGTGCACCTTTTTGCAGTTATTTACGCCTCAGTTTCCATTTAACTATGAGATTTAAATAGTGCATTTTAGTGTCATTTTAAGCAGTACTTTTTTTTTTTTTTTTTTTTTGCTGGATTAGCTAGTCAGGATAACCACACCTTTTGATGTACTAAAATATGTCCTAAAAATTTGCAGTAAAGAAAAATTAAAACAAGACTAATTTTTAAAATACAAATTTGTTACATCATATATCATTAGGAGAAAGGCAATCTGTTAAAGTTTTAAAGTAAAAAAAAACTGTAGCCTACTGTCATTTATTAGACAAAAAACAAACTGGCCAGCACATTCAACTGTCCTCAGTCACAATTTTTACATTTCAATAAAAAATGATAATTAAAACATAATGATGATGATAATAATAATAATAATAAAACAATAATAATGAATTCTTCCGAATTTTTCTAGCCTCTTTGGTTAAAAAAGTATCAAAAGTCCTGGATATCAACAATAGCCAAAATATATTCAAATGAATTTAACATGGTCTGCTTCTGGTGCTTCACACCTTTTTATTGCTCATTTTTATTTCAGGAAGAAGATCCAAGATTTAGAATAAAGTTACCTGTAAAATGTTTTCTCTGTTTATAAACAATAGTGAAAGAAGACTTCTCTACATCAGATTACAGTCACACCGAAGCAACAGCTGACAGAGGATTCCGTTTGGTCCTAAAGCCTTTTTCGATATAATATTTTCATTATTTATTATGGCATAGCAGTCACAATAGGACAAATGAGCTCATGTATGGGACAAATTCTGGACCTTTGTCATTGAGGGGTGACAAAGCCTGGTTCGGCCTGAAAAGTTAGAACATGTTTTATGCTTATAGTTAACATGTTTAGTAGAATTTTGGCTGTAAAAGCGCACCCACAGGTGTTTCAGGCGCCGGTCAGATTTTCTCCAGGTCATAATTTATTTTGTTTATATTAATGATGTCTAAAAAATGATTAGACCTGCACAGTTTCATCTGGAATTTATCCCAGATCACCTTTTAAAGTGGTTTAAACGATCAGATTTAAATCCGGTCTGAATAAAACAAATGAAGTGACCGAAAAGCCTCAAACACAGACGTGATGAGATTAGCAACTTTTGCTGTGAAGTGACATCTGACGGCTCTTTTTGACTCACAGCTTTACTCAGTATGGATGTCGCATCAAAGATTCAAAAGTCACCACTCAGGTACACTGAAAACCCTAAAAAGTAGACTGAACCAAATTAATTGAGTAAACTCATTGCCTCAATTTAATTGAGTAATGGAGTTTCCCAAAACTTGCATACTTAAGTTTATTTAACTTGCCGGTTTTGTAGACTATAATTAAATTGTTCAGTTCACCAAACTTAGTACTTTATATATATATATATATATATATATATATATATATATATATATATGTGTGTGTGTGTGTGTGTGTGTGTGTGTGTGTGTGTGTGTGTGTGTGTGTGTGTGTGTGTGTGTGTGTGTGTGTGTGTGTGTGTGTGTGTGTGTGTGTGTGTGTGTGTGTGTGTGTAAATGTCTGTATGTAATAATATACTGTGAAAAAAATGTTTAAATAAATTTTAAACAATAAATAAGTGGCCTTTTATTCACACTATGATGAATAATTATACCCAAAGCCATTTTTTTCTGATTTAAAAACCTTGAAACTTAAAAGTTGCACATATTAGAATTTTACAGTCAAGTTTGTGAACATTACTTATTTTTTTCAAAGGATTAATTATGATTTTGAGCTCACTAAACTTGAAATCTTTAGTTTATACATTGTATGGTACAGTTTTTATGGCAGAGTTAAATTAAGTTAAATTAACTCATATTTTTTAAGTAATAGGACCAAAATGCTAAATTTTAAGTTGTGTTCAGTCAACTTTACTTAATTGGTTAAGTAAAGACAACATTAGGGTTTACAGTGTAGTGGGTTCTGTCACGTGACTCTCATCACATTATTGTGGCTTTGAGGCTCCATGGGATTCAAAATACTGGCCAGAGTTATTTAAGATTGCACTTTATTACAATATATTAAATATAAATATATTAATTCTACAATACATTTATTATATAATTTTAAATTACTTAAAATAATTAAAAGGACAAATTCTGGACCTTTTGGTCGTGGGGAACAACCCAAACCCCCCCTGGCTACGAGCATGAATACTGAGGATTCCTTACCTAAGCAACTACTTAAAGTCTTCTTCTATCGGTTATTTTCACAATTTAGGATGGTATACTGTCAAATATTGGACAAATGAGCTCATATGGGCTAAATTCTGGACTTTGTCAGTAGGGATGGTGTGTCTTCCGAACCCCCCACTGGTTACTGGCCCCGGTTGTGTGTTATTAATGTACACAGTGTGTTACAAAAATGAAATGAATATCATTTCTAGTATTGCATGTTTTATTAAAGATATACAAATGGGATTAAAAATAAATTATTTGTATGCTTTTATTACAATTACACATTGTAATAATGGATTTTATAAATGATAAAACTAAAGCAAATTATGAATATTGATCATTTCATGCTAGTTTTTACTACAACAAAGTGAATATTGTTTTATATTGACTATTGTTGCGTAGAAAACATTACATTTTTTAATTGTAAATATGATTATGTCAACTGAAATACTTTAATAATTATTTAATAAAGTAAAAAGTTTTCAGTACATCGATGTACCATTTTAGCATAAAATGAAGTCATAATTCGAGGTGTGGAACACATTAATGTATACTCAAAACTAACTTTTAATTTTATTTGTGTAATATTTTATAGTTAAAATATGAGTGTGTGTGTGTGTTCACGGCATGTGTCATCTACAGTGTCATTAAATAACAGAACATGAATTATTTTTGCCTAAATGGTGTGTGCATGTCAGCAGAATGTGTAGCCTGGATGAGGTTCCGTTTAACTTTGCTCTGGGGATACAGATGGGTCAAAGAGAGCCGCTTACACCTCCTGAACTGAACATCCCAGACTGCGCTCAAATACTGCGCGATACAAAGGTCAGGATCCAATGATATGTGTGTTTGCTTATATTTATTATATACAGTTAAAGAAATTATTAGCCCGAAAGTTTTATTCTTCTTCCAATGTTTCCCAAGTGAGGTTTAACAGAGCGAGGACGTTTTCACAGTATTCCCTATGATATTTTTTTCTTCTGAATAAAGTTTTATTTATTTTAATTTGCTTAAAATAAAAGCTTTTTTTTTATTTTTTTAAGACAAATTCTAAGGTCAATATTATTAGCCCCCTTAAAAAATGTTGATAGGCTACAGAACAAAGCACTGTTATACAATGACTTGCCTAACAACCCTTTCTTGCCTAATTAACCTTAATAAGTCTTTAAATGTCACTTTTAGCTGAATACTAGTATCTTGCAAAATAATTGTTTAAATAATATGTACTATCATCATGGCAAAGACAAAAGAAATAAGATATTATAAATGAATTGCTAAAGCTATTGTGTTTAAAAACGTGTTTAAAATATCTGTTCATTAACAACACTTGGGAAATATTGTTAAAAGAATTTAAATTTCATTTTACGTTTCATGTGTTTAAATCTTATATATATACACACACCGATGTTCACATGTTATCCTGTATTTGGCAGTATTCCTTCTCTCTGGAGAAGCGGATCATGGCTGCATGGGAAGAGCAGCAGCGGAAGAACAGGAAGTTCAAAAAGATCCCGCAGAGTGTGTGTCCCACCTGCCCACCGCACTGGCTAATGTTCAGCAGCCCGCAGCAGAACCGCATGTGGTGCTTCGGAAATGCAGAATTATGGGAACTGAGCCCACGCCCCCGCAGCTTAAGCCTGAGTGCTGCTGACTCACGTAAGCTCCGCCCACTGCGGGCGGTCCAGTTCCTCATCGCTGACACGGACTGTGAGAGCGGCTACGGTGAAGACAACGACAGCTCGTCTAGTGAGGATGAAGCTGTTTGGAGCAAAGAAAGACCCAAGAGTTCTGGTTCTCAGTGTCCTCGAGTTTCAGTCCATCACACTCAGCGAGGCTCCACCCCTCGTCCCACCCCTTCTGTCAATCTCCCAAAGCCACGCCCAAGCTCTGCCTCTTCTGTAAAGGACATCAGGAAGCCGGTCCCTCCTGCCCTCAGCCAGACGCCGCAGGGCAGTCCTCACAGCTCCAGAGCACCACGCCGAAAACCTGCTATAGTGAGAACCAGTGGCCGACGGAGCTTACACACTCTCCTACAACCCAGACCCTCATCTGCAGGACCACTGCCCTCCTGCAGGCGCCAGAAACCTTCCTCGCATGTAACACAGTCACTGTGGATCAGGTTGTCCAGTCCTGTTCCTGGAGGGCCATTAAACCCTACTATAAAGTTACTTTAACCAGAAACTATAGGAACTATACTCTCAATCTAGACCAGGGCTGCCCAAACTTGGTCCTAGGGGGCCAGTGTCCTACAGAATTTAACTCCAACCCCAAACAGACACAACTGAACTTGCTAATCAGCCTCTCATTATCATACTAGACGTTTCCAGAAAGATCTGTTGACATAGGTTTGAGCTAAACCCTACAGGACACCGGCCCTCTGGAATGGAGTTTGGCACCTCTGTTTTAGACCCAGTTACTTTAACCAAGACCTATAGGAACTATACTTTCATTCTAGACCCATCTGCTATAACCAGGAACTATACTCTCATTCTAGACCCAGCTACTATAACTTGGAACTATAGGAACTACACTCTCATTCTAGACCAAGTTACTATAATTAGGAACTATAGGAACTATACTCTCATTTTAGACCCAGCTACTGCAACTTGGAACTATAGGAACTACACTCTCATTCTAGACCCAGCTACTTTAATCAGGAACTATAGAACTATACTCTCATTCTAGACCCAGAAACTATAAACAGAAACTATAGAAACTACACTCTAGTTCTAGACCCAGCTACTATAATCAGGAACTAATAAGAAACTATACTCTCATACTAGACCCAGCTACTATAATCAGGAACTATAGGAGCTATACTCTCATTTTAGACCCAGCTACTATAATTAGAAACTATAGGAACTATATTCTCATTCTAGACCCAGCGACTATAACCAGGAACTATACTCCGATTCTAGACACAGCTACTATAATCAGGAACTATACTCTCATTTTAGACCCAGCTACTATAATTAGAAACTATAGGAACTATATTCTTATTCTAAACCCAGCGACTATAACCAGGAACTATACTCCGATTCTAGACATCTACTATAATCAGTACCTATAGGAAATATACTCTCATTCTAGACCCAGCTACTATAATTAGAAACTATAGGAACTATACTCTCATTTTAGACCCAGCTACTATAACTTGGAACTATAGGAACTACACTCTCATTCTAGACACAGCTACTATAATCAGGAACTATAGGAACTATACTCTCATTTTAGACCCAGCTACTATAATCAGGAACTATAGGAACTATACTCTCATTTTAGACCCAGCTACTATAACTTGGAACTATAAGAAACTACACTCTCATTCTAGACCCAGCTACTATAATTAGGAACTATACTCTCATTCTAGACACAGCTACTATAATCAGGAACTATAGGAACTATACTCTCATTTTAGACCCAGCTACTATAACTTGGAACTATAAGAAACTACACTCTCATTCTAGACCCAGCTACTATAATTAGAATCTATAGGAACTATATTCTCATTCTAGACCCAGCTACTATAATCAAGAACTATAGGAACTATACTCTCATTTTAGACCCAGCTACTATAATTAGAAACTATAGGAACTATATTCTCATTCTAGACCCAGCGACTATAACCAGGAACTATACGCTCATTTTAGACCCAGCTACTATTATCAGGAAATATACTGTCATTCTAGACCCAGCTACTATAATTACGAACATTAGGAACTATATTCTCATTCTAGACCCAGCTACTATATTCAGGAACATTTGGAACTATATTCTCATTCTAGACCCAGCTACAATATTCAGGAACATTAGGAACTATATTCTCATTCTAGACCCATCAGCTACTATATTCAGGAACTAATTAGAAACTAAATTCTCATTCTAGTCCCATCTACTATAACTAGGGACTATACTCTCCTTCAGGTGTAAAAAACAAGGAACTTTGCTGTCGTAACATGGCTGCAGTTGTTTACAACCAGCTCCAATATACTTGTCATGAATTATCTTGGGCAGATAGTGGTCCTGGGGGTCAATATTCTTCAGAATTTGTCTACAACCCTCTCCAATGGACTTGACTAGAACAGTGGGTCAACCTAATAAGTAGTTGATAACACTACACATTTTGCATGTGTCCTCAATCAAACACACCTGTAGGACCCTCCAGGCTAAAGTTTGACACCCTTGCTGCAGGTCTGAGGGACTTGATTTTCTTGTTCAGTTATGTTTCATTTAGAGAGGAGCTAAACAGTTCAGTATGTGCCCCTCAAGGTGCAGGTTTGGACACTTACATCCTTTAAAAAATCTGATTTTAAGGATTAATGTTAAGTTTAATTTGTTATTTCAGGTTGTGCGTCCGCGGACGTCTGCAGGACTACAGGATGCTCCAGCAGATCTGCTGTGTGCTTTGAGTCAGGAAGAAAGGGATCTTCTTGAAGGCGTTATAAAACACGGATACACCCTGCACACTGCCATACTAGCTCTACAGAAGACAGGACCCAAGAGCCCTGATCAGGTAACACACACAACATACACACATACAGTATGTAATTAAATACACACATACCTATCTCTCACTTTTTCCTCAATTCATCCAGATTTTGAGTTATTTGATGTCATGTGACCGTCTGTGTCGACTGGGTTATGAGAAGACTCAAGTGGAAGAAGCTTTGGAGATGTTCCAGAACTGTGAGAGCAAAGTAAGACCTGCAAAAGACACTTATTAATTAACACTCAACTCAGAAAATAGCAAACAAATCAGCTTTTAGCACTCCAAACATTAGCTTATTACCACTTAAGTAAAAAAAATCAACCACAAATCACCCTTTAGCGCTCTAAACAATCAGCCAATTGACATCCAGCACAAAAATAGCCCACAAATCAACTATTAGCACCCCAAACACTCAGCCAATTGACATCTAGCACAAAAACTTAGCAGACAAATCAGCTTTTAAAGCTCCAAACATTCAACCAACTGACATCCAGCATTAAAAATTGCAGACAAATTAGCTTTTAGCTCTCCAAACACTCAACCAATTGACATCCAGCATAAAAAATAGCCCACAAATCAGATTTTAGAGCTTCAAACACTCCACCAATTGACATCCAGCATGAAAACTAACCCATGAATCAGCTTTTAATACTCCAAACACTCAGCCAATTGACATCAAGCATTACAAATAGCCAATAAATCAGCTTTTACCTCTTCAAACATTCAACCAATTGACATCCAGCATAAAAACAGCCATCAAATCAGATTTTAGAGCTTTAAACACTCAGTTTCAATTGGCATCCAGCACAAACACATAGCAGACAAACCAGCTTTTAAAGCTCCAAACATACAACCAATTCACATCCAGCACAAAAAATAGCCCACAAATCAGCTTTTAGCGCTCCAAACACTACACCAATTGACATCCAGCACAAAAATAGCAAACAAATCAGCTTTTAACGCTCCAAAGACTCAGCCAATTGACATCCAGCACAAAATAGCAAACAAATCAGCTTTTAACGCTGCAAACAATCAGCCAATTGACATCCAGCACAAAAAATAGCCCACAAGTCAGCTATCAGCACCCCAAACACTCAGCCAATTGACATTTAGCACAAAAACATAGCAGACAAATCAGCTTTTAAAGCTCCAAACACTCAACCAACTGATATCCAGCATTAAAAACTGCTGACAAATCAGCTTTAAGCTCTCCAAACACTCAACCAATTGACATCCAGCATAAAAAACTGCTGACGAATAAGCTTTTAACACTCCAAACACTCCACCAACTGAAATCAAGAATGAAAACTAACCCACGAATCAGCTTTTAACACTCCAGACACTCAACTAATTGACATCAAGCATGAAAAATGGCCCACAATTCAGCTTTTAGCGCTCCAAACACTCAACCAGTTGACATCCAGCTCAAAAATTAGCTCACAAGACAGAGTTTAGAGCTTCAAACACTCAGCCAATTAACACCCAGCACAAACATAGCAAACAAATTAGCTTTTATCACTCCAAACACTCAACCAATTAACATCTAGCACAGAAATTGCCCACAAATAAGCTTTTAGCATTTCAAACACTTTCAATTTGCATCAAATTAAAAAAAAAATAATTTAAAAATCTCAAATTAAGCATCTATCACTTCAAACAATCAAACAATCACTATCTAGTGCACAAACACTCATCAAATCAGGTTTTATCTCCAATCGGCATCCAGTAAAAAAAAAAAAAACATCTCTCAGATTCGCATTTAGCTCTCAAAAACACTCAACTAACCATCAAACAATGCATCAACTAATCATCAAAGTTCCATTTAACAGCCCAAACACTCATCGAATCAGCATTTAACACTCTAAACATTCAACTAATTCAGTTCATAAAGCACACATCCAATCAGCATGATGTTTTTGTGTCTCTCTCAGGCTTCTGAGTTCCTGTTCCTGCTGTCTCAGTTCTGTGAGATGGGTTTCCAGCAGAGCACCATTAAAGAAGTTCTACTGGTTCACGAGAACCATAAAGAGAAAGCCCTGGAGGAGCTTATGACACGCAGCGGCTGAGGACACAAGAGATGATCCTCGCTTATGTGCACAAATGAATGGCTTCAGCATGAATGAGGAATTGAAGAAATCCTTAGCACCATGAATGAATCCTCAGCTACTCTATATGAGAATGTGAATCAGTCTTCATCTCCTTTAATGAATTAATAAATCCCTATATTCAGCTTTATAAATTAATGTATGAAGCCTTTTGAATCCTTCGCAGTTTTAATACTTCAGTTTTTCCTTGAAGAAGTCATGTTTGGTGATTGATATATATTATATTGAGGATCTGTAGATCTGAATGCGTACTGACAAAGATTAATCATCTAGGTGATGAGGGGAATGGTGACAAAGATTCATCAGCTAGCAAAAAAGATTAACACATTTTGAAAAGAGCTGGGTATAAATGACTTCAAACAAGAAGTCTATAAATCAAGGGTGCCCAAATTTGTTCTTATAAATGGCCAAAGACTAAGGGCGTACTCACACTATGCCATCCGTACCGTGGCCAGGCCCGTTTCCCGAATCATTTGAGAAGTTTGAGTGCACTGAATCGGGCTCCAGAACTCGTCTTAAGACTCTGCTTTCTGTGTGATGGCCCCCACGGCTCTGGAAACTCTCTCCCGATAGCACTGAGAACTCTGAGATAAGTTGACCCTTATTGGTCAAGCTTTTAATTACCAGTATTAGTGTTTCTGTATTTGGATTTTTAAATAGTTTTAATATGTTTTAACATGTCTTCTTTTATTGTCACGTGTTCTTTTAGTTGTTTTCTCTTATTGCAAAGCATTTTGTTACTCAATGTCTGGGAAAGGTGCTTTATAAATAAACCTTTACTTAGTCAACTTGCTGTCAATTGGGTAAGTTTAAACATCTAGTTATATTGTCATTGTAAAGGATTCTATGTTGAAGTTGTCTTTTTATTTATTTTGATTATGTCATTTATATTTTAGTTTATTTTATGCTACAAGTTACATTTTTATTATTTGGATGTCATGTTTAAATTGTATATTTGCTGTTGTTTTTAAAAATGTAGCTTCGTAAATCACATAACAGAATAATAAACTAATAAATTCATATTCTCAACAAAACAATGAGCATTGTATCTATTAAAATCATTTATAAAAATACAGTAAAATGCTCAAATGAGTTAAAAGAACAAAATTCTTGAGGTATTTGATACAACTTAATTGTTTTATGTTCAGTCCACTTACATTTGTGTTGATTCGTACATTCGATTTGCGTTGGAACAACATAAATGAATTGTGTGGAATTCAGCATTTTCACAGTGTAGTTAATCAATTTAAACATCTTAAATTAAAAAGAAACTACTCGAGTGTCAGTAAGAATTGAATTATAAATGACTATAATTATTTTACATATTTAAAAATCTAATTAAAAGAGAAATAACATTACTCTGTAAACAATAACAATAGATTATATGATGACAAATCAATCAAGGTAAGATAACGTTCAGTTCTGCTGATTAAAGGTTCTGAATTCAACAACGCCATTCATTCCATTCATCATTGCAACCAGTTAAACTGGTCAGTCAGCTGGCTTCAATTTCATCCAATCAGTGCGCTGGAAGAGTCCCCATGACGTCTGTCAGCCTATCAGCGCGTAGTATCTTGTTGCCTTGCTTAGTTTCGGCCAATCAGTGCGCAGGAGCGTTTCAATGCGGCGTTTGAATTTTTAGTCAGAGGTTTCAAAGCCCAGCGTCGGATCGAAATAAGACGTAAATAAAGTTGTACAGGTGTCAAAACAGCACTTATAGGTTGTGTAAACCGCAATCTGCGGCGTGAGGCGGACAGCATGAGGAAGAGGTAAGAGGGCAACTTTATGTGTGCTGTATTATATATATATAACGCTGGTTTGGTATATGATGCATTACTGTTAGCTTCCATTTTCGATACAACTGTTTTAGTAAACATCGTGTTCGGCCGATAGTTTTCTACATTGTGGGTATAATTAAAAATATATACGCTGGCTTAACATTAGTACTTGAGTTATTAAGAGAATGTGAGCTTATAATCATCGTGAAACCATGTTGTAAGGAAGTTAATAGCGATGCTAATCTATGGTATCAAATTGTATTTGTTGAAATACACAATTCATTATTTTAGCCCCTTGATGCACAAACTGTAATATAGAAATAGAAAAAAATAAACTTTAAACCCATGTAGTGCATCAAAGGGTTTAAAGAGTAATACACTTTTAAATCTAGTCTCCTTTTGTTTTTATAGTATGAAATCTATCATTATTTACAGAAGAATCCTACATCAATGTCTATCAGTCTAGCAAAAGAATATACTTAAATGTACAAAGATATAAATATATATATATTTATATA